TGGAAAACTAGATGTAAAGAAGATAACACATCGTAATTTGTCAGGTGTCCCATTTCCCCCCCTGCATCTAAGTCCTCTCTCATGTTTACTGTAAATGCTCTCTACTAAGGAGACAGATTTTTTCCACATCTCTTAAAAGACGGTTTACCCTCCTGTATACCTACAATGGAACGCATCCTCACCTCTTTAGTAATTGGTACCTTCCTGTATAAGAAGAGGAATTTGGGGAGGTTCTGGTTTTTCAACATGTTTTTTTATTAAAGTTTAAAGTTTAAATATGTCAATATCTGGTAAACAAGAACATGCATGTTTTGGAATACATATTTTAAGAGTCAAAGGCTTTAGATGATTTGAGCTAGTGTGCTGCTGCAGAGATACTTTTTGGCATCAAATATGCTCTCATTTGAGCCAGAGCAAACCTTCACTGGCCTGCTTTTTTCCCCCTTCATTCTCTGTGTTGCTATTAAGAGTTATTGCAAAGTGAGAAAGATATTTTTTACATTAACTACTCTACGCCAACTAAGAACCAGTGAAAGATTTACAGGTTCCCAGATTCCCGCTTTACTATTGTGTCCTGTAAGCATGGAAACTGATAATACTATAGAAACAATGCCAGCCTTCGCTTTCACCATGACCTGCTTTTCACCAATGTAAAAGCAGTCAGTGCCGTTAGCTTACTTTTATAAGCATACTTGTCTTCAGAATACTGTCAACATATCCAGAATATTTAATTTTTTATTACTTCAAACTCAATAGACCTCAACACTTGATTTCAGTTTCTGCCTAAAACCTCCCTCTCTGCTACTGCCTTCTAAGCCGTCACAAAAACATAATCTGACTGTGGCTCAGACAATAAAAGAAGGTTCCTCACTCTACTGGGTTTTCCTTTTTATCACCTATTTTCTGGAACAAAATATTTCTATAATGGTGAAACTCTAGCATCATCTCTTGCTCTTCCCTTTTTGCAGAGCAAACTCCAGAGATTTGAAGACAGACACACCCCTTCCACTTAATTTGTAAAGACAAATGGTACAATCTTTTTTTTCCTCACATAGTTCTAACAGACATCAGTCTTTGCATTTATAAAGGTTGGTGTCCTTCCTCTAGGCCAAGACATGTTCCAGCTACAACCTTTCTTCTTTTCCGTTTCAAACAATGTATGATTTAAAAATCACAGGACAAACAATTTCCTATCAGATCCAGTCCACATGGTTTTGTTCTTACTTGCACTAGAAAGTGCACTGAGACTATTGGTGTTTTCTATTACAACAGAGAGCAGCCAATAATTATGAAAAACCTAATCTGAACCCCAAATTAAAAAAGTAGAGCACTTGAGTCTGTGGAAGGCCCATCTCTCCTAAAGCAAGTTGGCTGTAGAAGTTATCATGAAAGCAACCAAATGAGCCCCGAAGAACTCACACTGCTTGCACTTTAAAACATGGCTTTTAAATACTTCTGTGGTTGAATCTTTAATTAATCACACTTTATAGAAAGCACAGTGAGAAATCAAACAGATAAAACTTCTCAGCATGACTTATAACAGTGAAAATGCTCTAAGAAAAAGCTATGATCAAACTGAACAGTCTGCAAGTGAAGACATCCCAATTACATAAAACTATTTAAAAAAAAAAAAAATCACCTGTTTAAAAAAAAAATAAATTGAGCTCCTGCAATTTTGCCCAAAATAAAATGCAGGAACACTAGAATAAACCTTTACAAAAGTTTAGATGCAGCATAATGCTTGTTGTTTTAACCATTTTTATTACTTTCAAAGACTAGAGACTTCTCTGTGACTACTAGTGCTCCTTGCTAATGCTACAGCATCTGCAGGTGCTGGTGAGGCCAGCGATGCAGCATAGCATAGCACAGCCTCCTGCTGAACCATGCCAGGGATCAGCTGCCCAGGCACGGACTCCAGTAGAAATTTCCTAGAAGAAAAAGCTGGGAGCAAAGACAAGAGCACTTCTGACTGCTCCTCTACCACACCAGTGAAACCTGCTGGCCTGCATGCAAGGGAAAATGAAGCACATGGTTACTGTAGAGCTGCCCTTGCAGCAACCAGACCTACGCTGCACATAGCTCAGTCACACCCGCTCAGCTAAAAAGAGGTTGAGGAGGTCCTGAGAAAAGGCAGATGCCTCCAGGGCAGAGATGCAGCCGAAGAAGTTGCCTTAGAGGAAGGAGGGAATGATCGGTGGTGCCAACATCAGCTCCGAGGCCAAACCTTGCTATTCGGAAACTTCTAAAAACAATTTCTTACTTTCCTGATTTATAGATACTGAAATATCCCTGAAGAGGAGCCTCAAGCACTGCTGCAGAGCACTACTTCAGTAGGGCCTGGAAATAAAGATCGAACTCAAACCCAACATTTCTAGAAAGCTGAGGCTTTGTTTGACCTATACTATTAGCATAATAAAAGCTACTGTACAGAAATTGCTCCTCTAAAGCATTTTTTTTACATTAAACTTCTCTTACACATGAGAGAAGGAAATTGTAATTCACCCTCATAAATTATCTTCCATCTTCTCTCACATGAAACAGTGGGAAGTAATCACCCTATTTTACTATCTTGATATATCTTTAAAGGTACTCATTAAGAGGAACATACTTCCAGCAGGTGAATAAAGATAACTGGTCATAAGTGATGACAGTCAAAAAGATACAAATATCTGATCTGAAAAAAGGCCAAGTTGGAAGCCAGATGCATGCTCAACTATCCACTTTCCTTGCTGTTTATTCAGCTCATGTCAGGATGATTCAACGCATCTTTACACGCAACACCCTATTCATACAGCAGCTTCTAGTCACAAAACCAAGCATTTTCCATTTATTTTTCTAAACAAAGGGTAGAACAGTGGAATGGGAACTTGCCATTCAACAGCGGAAACTATTTGTAAAGCTGGGAAGCTGGAGACACTAGGAAGAAAAGGCTTTAATGAAACGGGCAACTGTGTGTGCCAACTGTCAAGACTTTTTATATATTCTTCCAAGGAACACTGACTGAGGCTTTTTCTGTATTTACTCTTTACATCCCAGTTATTATAATTCTCTGAATGATGCAAAAGAACAAAACTCATGAGAAATGCGTATTAGAAACAGGCAGGCTTTTTTTTCCCCTGCAACTACTCTGTAGCTGCACTCAATGACCCATTAACTTATTTTTGGATCTGTACAAAGACAGCACCAAGACATTCGTGACTCATTATCAACTAGGCACAGGAATTCACCACTAGAGCCTCAGCTGATCCAGATCCAAAGGAAATCCCCATATGCTTGGGATTTCTGAAATACAAGCATTACAGTTGTTGCCTGGTAAGAAGACGATTTCCATACACAACAGAGGGTATGTTTATATTTATGTTTTTAGAGGCTTGTAACTCTGCCAGAGGCAGATACATTTTCCCAGGGCAGCAAAAGTCGTATCACTGGCATTCGGGTAAAAACATAGTACGCATCCAAGTCACTACTCCAAAGTGTGGAGGCAGTAGAGCCTCAACAGTTTTCCAGACCAATTTAAGCCTGCAGTCCTTTTTATTATTGTTTTTTTTCATTATGAGATCCCACATTCTGCAGCAAAAAGATGTGCTGCACAAAGCAGCTTTGCTCACTACGCAGCTTTCATTCATTCGTTCCCAGAGCACAGTTTGTCCTGTGCCACAGAGGAAGAAAGCTCTTGCGGGCTTGACTTTGGTGTCTGCTGTGACACAGCTTCCCAGAACGAGCCTGGAGGCTAGCCCAGACACTGCTGCTGCGTATGGCAAGGTCTGACCCCATCCCTTGGACTTGCAGCACTCACAGCAGTGCCCTCACCAGACAGAGTTTACTTGTAGGCAGCGCAGCACTTCACAACATACCAGCGTTCAAGTGACAGCTAAATGAACAGAAGTCTTGCCTGGGAGCATATCCAATGACCAGTCAGTTGAGAAGGGCCTTCATCATTGTAGTTCCTCATATCATGGTATTCCTCATATCACAATGTATAGATCACAAATACTCCACAAGTCACCCTCTCTTTTGGGCCAAGAGAAAAGCTTAGCTTATTTCCCTGCCCTTATAAACAGCACACAGAGAGATGGGGGAGTTGAGGCAAGCACATCACATTTTCCACTCCGCTATGGAAAAAAGTAGAAGGTGATTACGTCATTAAAGATGGTGCGATAATGCATACACCAGGACTGGCTACAGTAAGATGGAAATTTTAATTCTGGTATTTCATACCTTTTAAGAGCTCAAATTGGCAACCTTAATAACATTCTTTGAATTTTTGAAGTGATATAATTACTTTCAATTAATCAAAATGAGGAAAGAATGAAATATCCTTTCACAAGACATGAATAATGTTCAGGGAGCAGAGTGGTGATCGCTAACGTACCAATGGTTATTACAACTGCCAGGCAGCAGCATCTGAGAAAGTTTCTCCTTCTACCCAGGACAGGAAATAATTGTCTGACATCCACTGTCAGAAGCTGACTAACTAATAGCAACGAGCTATAAGTGCTGCTGTGAGATCTTGATTATATGGAATAGGAAAATACCAGCTTCAGAGTGACCAGTGACTCCCTTGTAGTTCCCCTACACTGTCTCATACTTCTGTCTCTCCTCCCTCCATCTGAGGCTCAGTCAGAACCCTAAATGCAAAGGACCCCTGGGGACATGCAGAGGCCCAGGCGAAGTGTCTGGGCAGTCTGGGGGCACTTGTTCCCACCTCCTCCTGCCAGCACATCCTTAATGAGGCCACCCGTGATCATACTAAGGCTCACCCGGGAAGAGGCTCTTCACCTGGCAACAATCCTCTCATGCAGATCTTGAAGGAAGAAAGCCCCAGATTGTATTGTGTTTTCTGAGCAGGAACACAGAAATCTCTCAAACATTCCCTTTCATAATTCGCACCACCACTTTGAGAAGACTCAAGGGATGATATCTGGACAATACTTGATTTTAATTTTCAAACACAATTTTGCGCACCGACTCCATGGCCATTACCATTCATAAAGTTTTACCTCTGCTCCTGAGTACTTCTGTGTGTGCTGAATGAGCTCTGCTAAGCAGACTTCGTCACTGACTGGCATGGACTGAAAATGAAGTTTGAAGATCTCCCCACGAGTGGCTGCATCTGGCAATGGCACATAGATAATTCTGTCTATTCGTCCCGGTCTCAGCAAGGCCTGCAATGAAAGCATCACATAAAAAGTTACAGCACATGTCACATCACATCAAGAAAGTAAAAACCACAATTCAATTAAAAACAATGCCATCAAATAACCACCAGTTTCAGCAAAAGCTGCACAAGAACAATCAAGCTATGTGCAAGAGGGGTTGTTCTCCTATGTTAGAACAGATCAGTTGCTGAAAAGACAGTAAGGCTACTCAGCCTGCGAAATACCAGTTTATGGAAAAAAGGAATCATAAAGGAACCATAGTCATTTTCCTAAAATAATAATTTTAGGCTTGTTGCAAGGTGTGCAGGAATGTTAAGACTTGGCAGAAGGACAGGTGGCAACGGACACAACCCAAGTTCAGATCTTCAGTCAAGACAACAAGTGGAGAAAAGAAGAATTTTGAAGTGAAGCTTACATTCTGGATTCATGTTGCTTTATCCCAAATTATTAGAGCTCCACATGCTTACAGAAGAGCAGATTGCTCTGACAGTTTTTTATGCAAAATAAGGTAACAATAGACAGAGGCCAGTGATGCTTAGCTTCAAAAAGGGAGAGAAAAAACCACAGACTTGCAAAAGCACTATAGTTAATACCTTTTAGCATCAGCTTTAAACTCTTGGAAAAACTGTTTTTTCTTTATCTTGTGCCACAAGACAAAAGAAAAGTCAAAAGATGAATACAGTTATAAGCTAAGGTCCCAACTTCGCAGTTTCATACACATATCTTGGCCCTTGAGCTGCAGTTTCCCAGGGTTAGTCATTATATATACACCAGGGAGGTGGAAGGGCAACAGAACAAACTCTGGGCAGCAGTGACAGACAATGTAAGAGGGGACAATGGCCACAAAGGGCAGCATGGAGGGTTCAGACTAGATGGGAGGAAAAAAATCTCTAAAGAGAAGAGCAGTCTTGGGGCAGGTCATCTGGGAGGCTGTGGAAACTCATCCTTAGCAGTTTTGCAGCTCAGCCAGATGAAGTCAAGCCCTCCCCAGTCTGGTGCTGGTGAGAGTCCTGTGTTGTGTGGGAGGGGGACTGCAGGGCCTCTGCATGCCAAGCTCTCCAACCACCATTTCTGTGACTCTGTGCTTTTTGGACAGGGTCAAAAGGTAAACATTATCTATATATAAAACAATTATATCTGATACATAGCAGAAGCCAAGCTCTTAAATTTATGAGAAGAGAGGAAGCTCATTTCCCTATATTTATAAAAATCTTCAAGATTTTTGAAATTCATCTACAGTAAAAAAGAAAACCTCCCAGCCTTTCTTACTTGACATTTGAAAAAAAAGAAACCAAAACCTGTACATAGCAAATGCACATAAAGAGTATTTAAATTATTTTTTAAAAGCTGAAAAATGTTTGTAAGATTCAGCATGTAACCTAGATTGTTTTTTATGTTATGGTTCTCCCTTGGGCAGAGTAGTTTGAGTTCCAGATGACTAGAGATATTGCATGGCTGTCCTGGGCTGTCAGCCAATAAGTCTTTTCCCAGCCTGATCATGTCAGTGAAAGTCGTGCTGAAAAAATAGTAGGAAAGAGCTTTCCTTCCTGCACAGCATTGATCAAGTTAACACCCTTCCTAGTGTTTCTTTAAAAAGACTGTTGTGGTGCTTCAGAGTGGAAAAATGTATCCTGAATGTTAAGAGATGTCTTGTTATTTTTAAAACAGAACATGAAAAAGCTCAGCAGAAAGTGCATGGTCCTGCAGTGTGTTACATCGAGCTGTGTAAGGATAGAGCAAGGTTGTATTGGGAAGACTAAATCTCTGTATCCAGCCCGGTACCCTGTCCCTGGCAGTAGTCAATGCTGGATCCCTGTGAAAGAGAGCAAGAAGCAAGCCCTCCACCGATATTTCCTCAGCAGACCATGGTACTTTCCACAGCACTCTTGATATATTCATGGAAGAACTCAACTCACTGATGATAACTCAGCCAGTGTGTAATTCAGCGTCTAAATCACGTGTGTATGAGGATATTGCCATTTTTTGCCAACACACTTGAAAGAAAAATTTGCATGCTTCAAGACTAGGCTTGGAGAGAGAGGAATTATACTGCAATTGCATTCTGCATGCTCTTAAGGAAATGCCCATAGCTAATTCTGTTATTTAGAAGAAACAAGAAATGTTCACATGAGTACAGTGGTGTGCCTCTTTTAAATCAAGGCAGGTTTAATCAGGACGCCTAGATAATTAGAACGATTTCTAGAGCCAGCTTAGCTTCACACTGATGAATGACTGTGGCTGTTGTGCAAGTGGGACAGGAAAAATGCTTGATGCCAATCAGCTGGGAGCAAGCGCTCCCCTGTGTTGCATCGGCTTTCAGTTCGGAGACACAGTCTTCTAACACAACGGAGCACCCACGCTTGAAGAGCACAACTGCGGATGCAAGAATGAATATAATTTTTTTTTACTCAGTTACTAAAAATTGTATTTCCTCCAGTCTGTCCCAAATGCTTTGCATTTTATATATAGTCATAGTTGGAGGCCCAAGTTTTAAACATGCTATCATTACTTTTTTGCTACAATCAGGCCTAGGGACCCTATCCAAGACAGCCAGATGTGCTGGGAACTGTACAAAAAAAGCACAAGTCAGTCTCTGCAGCGCTTGCTGCTTAAATAGACATAGACAAAAAGGAGAGAAGAGAAAATATTCTGTAACTTCACTTGAGAAAAGAGTCAAATTCCCTCCAGCCCCTGGAGAGAAAAGGAGACTGAACTGAGAGCTGGTCTCCACCAGTCCATCCAGATGGAAAATGTGGTGACCCTGGGAGACCCTGGGCACAGTCCATCTGCTCCTCGCTCTGCCATCACCACCCTTGTCCCTTTGGCAAGCCACCGGCCCCCTCCCCTCTACTCTCCTGAGGAACTAAAAGAAGAGGGAGAGAGTGAGGAAGGGGCCTGCCTTGACCCATCCCGCATTACTGTAGGGCGAATCCCCAGTAAGAGGCTGTAGGTGGGCTGCAGAGCTGCTCTACTGCCCACTGGTCTGGAATTAATCAGAGAGCAATGGCATGTTGAGGCCATTCTCATTTGCAGGACACACATTGCCCTCTCAGGCTTTTGTTGTCTGCATACTTCTCATGGAGATACTTTTCCTTTCTGGCCAAAATAATTCAGGACTCAGAACTGAGCTGCACGTAGAGGTCGGCACTAAGGGAACAAGATATTCCTCTTGACGTTTTTGCATACTGAAGTTTCCTCTGGAGAAAAATGAGTTTTTCTGGGTTGCTTAGAGAAGCCTGCTGTGGCATTTGGTGTGGACACCTGCAGCAGCAGTGTCAGCTTTAACCCCAAGGCTCAGGTCATGCTTACTTATGCTGCTAGCACCAGAGCTGAGTTTGAGGTGTTTTGTTGGCACTACATTTTTCCTCAGCATCGCTTTCTTTGCAGAACCAGAAGCTATTTCTCTTCTCAGTGGGGTGTTGCATGATGCAGGCATCCCCACCGGAAGGGTTTTGGAGATGGTTGCTCCAAGTGCGCCATGACTTTCACAGGCTGTTCCAGAAGATGGAGCTTCAGTCTTGCAATCTGCACTTTTGAAATAGCAAGGAGAGCGATAAGGACATCCAGGTCACCTCCGGACTCAGCCCCACTGCCCGTGCGACACGTGGGGATCCGGCACTGACCCACTGGCCAGGGAGGAGGTGAAGCCACCTGGGACTGATCCTTGCTGCTAAGATGGAGAAAAAGGAATTTGGCAGAAGGCGGTAGTGGCTTGGCTGTGCAGGAGGAGAGGCAGGTGGGGGAGGGTGAAGAGTTGAAGCTGGGCTGCAGGTTCAGGCAGATATGAGCTGCCGGGAGTACAAAATTAACTGCTCGCGGCTGGGAGATGCAAAACTGATTTGAGGCTAGGAGCACACAGAAGGTGGGAAGTTGATGGGGCCAAAATTAATTGATGTGTGTGCAGAGCTACATAATTCACAGATGTTGAGATGTGAGGGTTGCATAATTTATGTAGGCCAGGAAGGGCACAAAATTAAGTAATTGGGTTTTGGTAGAAACCAGAATACTTCATACCATTAAGCAATTCTTTTGCAAGTTTATGTAATTTTTTTGTTGTTACCACAACAGTTACAAAAGGGGTCTAAGTGCACAGTCACTGAAAGGTTACTAGTGGTACACAGATATAATGCTCTTCAGGGCAGCACTAGGAAAGTAGGATAATTGTCATGTAATACATAATATCACCAATAGCAAAACCACATTTTAATTAAGAAGAAACTGTTTCCATTTCCACAAGAAATGCTTAAATTCTTTGGCAATCAAAATAGAGTATTATTTCAAAATATATCATTGGAAAAGATAGCTAGTTCAAAAAAGTGTATTTTGTGTGCAGTTATGAAGATAATTATTTCAGGAAAGAAAACTTCAATAAGTAAAGCCAAGAAAATATTTGCGGTTCCTGTTAAGAATGGACTATAATTAACCTTAGGGCTTTGCTAATTTTCCTCCTCCTTTTTTTTTTTTTTTTTTTAAAGCATTCATCTTTAGTTAGTCCTTTTAGTTCATCCTTTTGCAAAGGAAACTTGGTGATTTCAAGAACTACTTTGTCAATCAATGCAGAATTAAAACACTGACAGAAGCACACCCAGCTGATGAGTTTTCTGTGGGACAGAAAAAAATAGCTTTCCTGCTGACATAGTTCTACAGCCATGCCTAACTCATCAAAATCATTCTTAATCAGATCTTATAACAGAACATCATACATAAAAGGTGCAAGAGGGTAGTCTGACATGAGAAAAAATAAATATAATGTGAAAAAGAAGTGGCAAACTGACAGCATTTTCATTAGCAAAATATAATTTGCAAAGCAAAACAAACTGCACAGTAAACGGCATACTGAGGTGTGTGAGAGAAAGCAAGCAGGTTCAGCAGGTAACGAAGTTCATCTGGAGAATCAATGTTACTGCATGTTCTCTGCTGCAATCAATCTCCACAAGTAGGAACAGATTTTTATACTAAATTTAAGACATTTCCTTTCAAGTAAATACATTTATTTTAATGCAGAA